TGGCCCACTCTTTTTCAGCAAACAGATCTATCTGTTGCTAATTTGAAGGGTGTCTTCTCCCTGTTGCATATTTTGGCACTTTCCATATATGTTTTGTACGAGTCAGATCAAGGCTTATGAAAAAGCCACTTCAGAATAGTCCAATATTTTGATCTTAGCCATTCTTGGATGCTTTTTTTTGCTGTGTGTTTTGTCCCATTATCCTGTTGGAGGACACATCGTTTGTGATTGACACTGGGCAGTATGTTTCACTTCAAAATACCCTGGCAGTGTCAAGATTTATTTGTGCCTTGCACAGATTCAAGGCACCCCATGGCAGATGCAGCAAAGCAAGCCCAAAATATAACCAAGCCTCCTCCATGTTTCACAGTAGGTACAGTGTTCATTTCTTGAAAGCTTTATTTTTTTCATCTGTGAACATTGAACTAGTGTGACTTGCCATAATAGCTCAGTTTTGTCTCCTCTGTCTAAAGGATGTCTTTCCAGAAGCACTGCGGCTTGTCGATAAGCATTTTAGCAAATTCCAGTCTGGCTTTTTTGTTTATTTTTCAACAATGGAGTCCTCCTGGGTCTTCTTTCTTTGAGCCCTCTGCTCAAAAAGCGACATATGGTGTGATCAGGCACTGATGTACCTTAACTCTGGAGTTCAGCTTGTATCTCTTTGGAAGATTTCTTTGTCTCTTTGTCTACCATTCATACTATTCTTCTATTTTATTTGGGTTTGATTTACTTCTTGCTGCCACATCAATGTCAGTTGGCTGCACTCTTATGAACCTTTAGAATTCTTAATAATTTTCCGAACTTACAGCTGCTTAGACGTGATCTCATAGCCTTTGTCTTGAATGTGATGGCCTATCCCCTTTGTTTTCTATCCATGTCCAATGTGATGTACACTATGATACTAAACAGAACAGTGACTACAGTGTAGTTTTTCCAATTTAAATTGGCTGAGTAACCTATTACAAGATTGATTACATGTGTAATACTAGTTACAGAAAACAGTTAGTTGGAAATATAACTATTATCCAATCACATTTATTTTTTTCTTGGGGTACCAACAAATATGTTTGGGCCATTTTAAAATAGCTTTGTTTAATAAACAACAATATATCTCTGTCCATGCTTTCATTTGCTTTACTGATCTAGGACCCCAGTTCTTTTACACAAGGTATACCCCCAATTAAATCAAACATGCTGGAGATGTTATAAAGGGATTGGTATACTCGCCCATATCTTTTGGTTTTGCTCTGCGCTTCAACATTGGCATAAACAATACAAACTGACGGTCGGTATTGAAGGCATTTTATTGACATCAGAGCCATATCTTCTACATGCACAAAAAGCTAAATGTCTCGTCTTCTATAAAATCCCTGCATTGGTAAATACAGCGTATGCAGTAATTCTGAAGCATTGGAGGTCAGCCCGGACCCCTCAGTGATGGAATGGATAGCTCAGGTAACACATAGCTGTGAGATGGAGGAATTTATGTTTTACTAATACTACTACTTTGTGGTATTTCTGGAAACACTTCACTCACACCTAACTATATAAACACCTGATGTCTAGCCTTGCTTTAATTGGTTCTCACCACTTAAATCTGACACCATTTGGCTTGGTGACTTGAGTGACTGAAGATTGGGATGTTGGGTGGGATGGGCTGCTTTACCCATTCACTTTCCTGTGACTTCAAGCTAACTGCTGTTTTCAGCTACCCATCTGCCCCTTTCTTTCTTCTGTATTACAGCCGTTCCCTTCCCCTTTTCACACCCCTCCTTTTTTACCCACATACCTTTATTGTACTGGAGAGCTTCTTGTTTGTTGCTCCTCACATCTCCTCAACTACAAATCATGCTTGCATTGTGCACTCTTCAAATAACTACCCGTTCATAAACGGAATACAAATATGGAAGAAGTGCAGTAGATGAGTGGATCATGGATGACCCTCCCCAAATCCAATTTCAATGTACATATTGGTTTTTGACTTTCCATTGGATGCTGGAGGTGCCAAGACACGGTTGTAACCAGGGGCGGACTGACCATTTGGAAACTCGGGCACTGCCCGAGGGCCTGGGGTCAGTAGGGGGCCCCATGAGATGCCCCTGGTAGCTTTTTCATAGGCTTTTTTGAGTTTGGGCAAGGACACAGGGGCCCCATGATCCCCTATTGGTCGGTGGCCCAATGAGTTGTCAGTCCACCCCTGGTTGTAACTAATATGATGTTGTATTATGTGGACCAGTAAATCCATGATACTGTGTTCCAAATGTTGGCATTTGAATAAAGAATGGGGAAAAAAGATCAGCTCTTGCATCTGTTGTAATAGATCTTTATTTTTACTACAAGGTGTGTGTGTTTGGTGGTCATTTTGGTTCAAATAGACAAAGTATCCATACGACAGCAAGGCAACAGGCAGTTTAATAGATGAGAAAAGGCAACTTCCCATATTTCTTCCATATTGTCTCTTCACATTGACACTCCACCATCCAGCGATGGATCTTCCCTGAACGTACGGTTGTTGGAGAAAAAATCTGATGGCATCTAACTCAATTTTCTAGTTCTTTTTATTCCTCCTTTCACTATTTCCACAATGGTTTAATTTATGTAACGAAAGTCTGTGTATATAAATATTTGTCTGCTGTACACAAATATAGTTTTATGTAGCAAATCTGTGGATGTAAATATTTGTGTGCATCTACTGTGCACACGTCTTGCTTGGCAACAGTTTTTTATTTTTATATTAAATTATAATTTATGTTTACATTTTGTTTAAAAAGCCTAACAGTGGTTTGATTTGAAATAAAAACTTTTTGTATTTTTGTTTTTTTTCCCATACATTTTTCCAGTAGTATTATTTCAGTTTATTATGACATATGTTATTTTTGTATACAATAGAAAAGCTTAAATAAATATTTTAATTCGAATGCCATCTTAAAGTGGTAAACACCCCCTTGGTGACTTACCTGTAGGTTCAAGGAATAGTTCCTAAACGTGCACCATTTAGGAGATATTCCCTATTTCTGCAGAAATATCACACATGCGCTCTGAAAGGACGGCGTACTGAGTGTGTCATCCCTTCAAAATGCTGTGCCGCGATCGCGGCTCTTGCGCGCATGCACAGAACCGATATCATTGCTGCTGGTCCATTCAAACTACTGCAACCAAGAAGGAAAACCAGGTAAAGATGGAAACCCTGTCAGTGGTGACAGGGTGCCACTGGAGGGCTTTCAGTCTTTCATAATGTGCTAGTATACAATGCATATCAGCACATTATACCCTTAACTTGCAAGGGGGATTTTTTTTCCCCCCACACTTCACCACCACTTTACGTTTTAATTTGATATATATTCGAGTACACAGATTTATGGATGCTACAAAAAAATACATGTTATTGCAATACTGCATGAACAGATATTGATTTGGATATGCAAATTAATTCTAAATAACTTGCAATTTAATTTAGGTAAATTTAATATTTTTTTTAACAAAGTAAATTTTTTTAGGTCTGTATCTATCAAAACAACATATACAATTAAAATCACAATATTTTAATAATCCACATCTATGTTAGATGATCCTCCCTGTAGCCTTGCAGAGAAAAAAGTGTGTTGATGTCATCCCCCCCAAAAAAAACTGACCTGATCTGATTTTTGTGGGGAACATGCCAACATACTTTTTTTTTCTCTGTATGGCTGTGAGAGTAACTTTGTGTGGATCACAGTAAATATTCTGGGGTCCCTCCTTTTTGGGGTTATGGTAGCCCCCTCCTAGAGTACTCTGAATGCCTAAGTACTTTTTGAAGGTTCCTTGTTTGAAATGGGCCAGGGTGTCCTGGCTCTTCATCTTGGGGCTGAGCTGCCCCCCATATGTCACCAGGTTGCTTTTTTTTCTTAACATCCTGTGTACCCCACCCCTGAAGAAGCAATAAGAGAAACGTGTTCAAAAAGGGGCCTTATCCATTACCAATTCTCAACCTGATGATATATATATGATCTGTGCCCCTATACTGGATATTTGGGGCAGGTACAATAAATATTTCCCAGTGGGTCCTATCAGTTACACTATGAATAGGCCTAAGGGGGCATTGATCTTTATGGGGGTGTATACAGCAGCGTATTTGCCGCAAGGCAAACAAGGCGTTTGCCTGGGGTGGCGCCACCCCCTGCTGTTATAAAACAGCTGTTAGCTAACAAGCTCATCCGAGCTCCCTGCTTCCCCTGCCGGCTCTCCTGCAGGTTCCCCACTCCTGGCCCTGCACTCTGGGCCAATTCACTTGTCCCCACCCAGAGCCCAGATAGCACGCAAGCACAAGAGATCCCATAGCGGGTGGGGTTGTTGGTGGGCAGCAGTGGCAGATGAGGGTGGGGGGTGTTGTTGGTGGATAGTTGTGGTAGCGGCCGGGGGGTGGGGACGGCGGGTGCTGGTGAGGGGTGCCCGATTTTATGTTGCCTACTGCAGCACAAGGGATAAATACACCACTGTGTGTATATTAAAATGTGATTTTTATACACACACAATTACAAATCTTCCATATATGTGGATAAATAAAATATTTGCTTTTATTTGAATTGTGTTTGTATATGTGTTTTTTTTTTTTTTTTTTTTTTTTTTGGTGATACACACCAGTTAAACCAATTTTCTACTGGGATGTGGTGTTTGATCCTTCACTGACACCCTCTAACTTTTTGTAAAAGTTTGCTTCTTTGAGAAAATTCACTTTTTTAGGGTTTTTCTTTGTAACGGATTGGTCCAGTGTATACAGAACCAACATTATATAAATATAGTATTGGTTGTCATATTTCTGTGAATGACTAGGGAAGGGGGTGTCCTAATACAGCGCACATCCTTTTTACCTTTGTCACTCAATTTATACACGCACTTTTCTGCCAGGAATTGTTAAGTCCAAAGTAAGCACAAAAATGACAGGGCGATATGTAATCCTTACCTTTTATAATTTCAACAAAAGTGTTATTTGCAATGTGATAACTTATCCGTCTCTCATTTAGAGCTCCTTAAAGATGCAGTTTGAAGAGAATTTCCACCTTCAGCAAAATGTGCGGATCAGTGACCTTACCTGTTCAAAGCATTTCGACAACTGCATGGTGAGAACATTGCTAGCAGATCACATCAATGGTTAGTGGTGAAAAAACAAACAAACGTCACTTTTCATTTTTTTATTTCTTTTAACCTTGGTTTATTTAACCACTTCAAGTCCAGACACTTTCACCCCCTTCCTACCCAGGCCAATTTTCAGCTTTCAATGCTGTCACACTTTGAATGACAATTGTGCGGTCATGCAAAAACTGCATCCATATGAATTTTTTAGACTTTTTTTGAGACAGATAAAACTTTATTTTGGTGGTATTTATTCACCACTGGGATTTTTATTTTGTTGCTATATAAATCAAACAGTCCAAACATTTTTTTAAAAAGTGTTTTTCTTATACAATTTTGCAAATAAATAATCTTTCTTTATAAATCTTGGCCACAATTTATTCAGTTATCTTTTTAGTAAAAAAAAAAAAAAAGCCAAATTACTTTAGAACCAAAAATTATAATTTTTCAAAATTTTTTTTTTTTACATTTTTATTTTATTTGTTTATATTTATGGGGTTTTTTAAACATACTGTCACCCTAGCAGTACAGTGTCACCATAGTGACACTGTCCTACTTGTGGGGGGTGATGAAGATTTTTTTTTTTTTTTACACTGATTGCTTTTACGCCCATAAAGGCTGTAAAAGCAATCATTTCTCCTTCTCTCTGGCAGCCATTGAGAAATACTGTGTGAGCTGTGATTGGTCACAGCTTGTCACATGGTACAAGGCAGCTGTGAATAGCCTTGTACCATGTGACCTCTGTGATCATTCACAGATTTCACAAGTAGTAAGCAAAGATCTCAGCAAGTGACATCTTGCTTACTACTATTCATGTGATCACTGATTGGCCAATCAGTGATCACATGAATCGGGACCTCACACAAGGCACTGTACACAGGTACAGCGATCGGTGTTCCACTGTGTCCGGAGGACACATCAGGCACCAGATCGCGGTGCCGTGCGCTCACAGGGAGCACGCACAGGCAGGGAATGCGGGAGGACGTTTATAAACGGCCACCCGCTCCTGCAGTGCTCCCGTCTGGCTGTTTTATGTACATGGGCCGGATGGAAAGTGGTTAAAGTGGTAGTAAACTTGGGCTTGTTTAAAAAAAAAAAAAAAAAAAAACCCTGCAAGGCAAAAGCATAATGTGCTAATATGCATGGCAAACTAGCACATCAAGAAATACTTACCTTAGAATGAAGCCCTCCAGCGGCGTGCTGTCACGGCTAACAGGGCTTCCATCTTCACCCGATCTTCTTTCCAGGTTCATGTGGTCCGGCTGCCTAATTGGCTGAGCCACGATGACATCACTCCTGTGCATGCGCACAAGAGTGATGGGCATGGCACACAGCTCTGAAGGAACAGCACAGCTATGCCCTTTCTTCAGGGCGCATGCACAGAAGCCACAAGTTCAGGAGATATTCACTGTACCTACAGGCAAGCCTAACTAAATGTTTACCTGTAGGTAAAAGTCCAAAAAAGAAGTTCACTACCACTTTAAGCTCTATATAGATTACAAGAAAATGGTATATTGGGATTTAATGTAAAAAAAATACCAAATCATTTGCAAGAAAAAAAAAAAACACCAGGATCTTGCTTGTACATGATTGGATGATTGAAGTCAGCATAACTCCACCTCATTCACTAAGCCAGAAGAAAATTTAGTTTCCAAAGAGAATTGTCACTTCGCTTTTGAAAACCGAATTTTCATTCACTCACCTCATTGAAAGTAGAAATGCTCTTCTCATTTAGTAAATACAAGTCCCAAACCCATGTTTTACCTGCGGGACAAACAAATTGCATGATTGCTTTGGACTGTCAAATGCTCACATGAGTGCATGTGATCTCATTCAGTAGTTACAAGATGGCATTCCTTCAAAACAGGGCCCCAACACCAATTCTGTCTGCAGAAACCTGACTTAATTTTGCTGATTAGTGTTTCACAGATGGTTTATGTTCGCCTATTGCAATACAATGTAATATAATGCCAAAAGAAGGAAAAGCTGATATAAATTGAAAGGCAAGTTTAGAATTTGGGTTCACCCATTTGACAGGTTTGTGTCCAGGAATTTTTTGCATACTTACGTTTGGCCAGCTTGGCTGAAAGTATGCATTTTTGGTATCTGGGAAGGTGGGATGTAACGGTAGGGATGTCACAATGCTGTAGTAGTTTGCAATACATACAGTGAGAGCCATGATCTTTCAGGTCCCCCTCTGGACACTGACCACAGGGGGTCCCTTTCTTGGCACCGTCGCCATTCATAGAACACCTTGTATATTTTTCATTATATACAATAAGTTCTCTGATTGGGCAAAGGGGAGAGGTTTGGGCGGGTAGGGGTAGAGAAGACAATCCCCACCTCCACCTCATTCATTATTTCACAGCACACGCTTCTCGGCCTTTTGGCTAAGATCAAGTGTAGTATCTGTTCTTAGTAGTGTCCAGTAGGGGTGCTCCACGGTCATCCTAACCTCATGGGGATGGCTGTTTGTACAGTACCCCTGCTGGAATGATGGGGGTCTGGACGGCTAGTACCGGGGGGGACAGAAAGCGTGGTGCCCACGAGTAGCTGGGGCCCGTGAGTAATTCTCCCGAGGAGACAGGAAGGACCCAGTTCCTCCTGATTTGGACGGATCTACCTTGTCTGGCTAGGGGTCGGGAAGGGAGAAAGTCCGCAAACCAGTGCCCCCTGAGTAGTAGTCGCGCCTCAGGGGTGCCACTAGTAACACCTGGGTGTGGGACCCCACAGTGTGAAGATGGCACATGGTCACTGCGTTTCCACTTTTCCTGCACAGCGCCCTTAGAACCAGGCCTTTTGGCTAGGACCAGGGCAATTTTTGCTACAGGCCTCAGGGCCTGGTCTGTGCACTATTTGGCACGACCACTTTTTTATTTTTTATTTATTTAATTTATTTCACCTCCCACGTTTTTGTCACTTTTTCTTACTTATGTGTGTGTTTTTCTCACAGGATGGAGGGTGTGGGTCCTCGGGCCTGCCCTGAAGTCTAGGGGGAGGATGTGTGGCCTTTTGGTTCCTTCCTCCCCTGTCCCTAGGGGGTTTTCTCTTCGGGAGAGCCCCATGACCAAGTACTGGGTGTCTGGCTTCGGCTGGACACAAGGAACGGTGGTCCACCAGGCCTTTTGACCAGGAGGACCAAATGGGAACCTTGTCCCTGTCAGGAGCTTCGTGCCCCGGGGGATCAGGGTAGTGGTCCAACCCCTTCGGGGGTAGGACAAAGCACACCCCTAAGTGCACTTTTTCGTGTGGTGTTTTGCACTTACGGGTTTTTCGTTTAGCTGCACGTTTGCGGACTTAAAAAAAAACAAAAAACCATGCAGTTAGAGAGCTCAGGGTTGACTTATTTTGAAGCTATTTTAGTGCTTGCTAAGCATATATAAATGTTATTATCCATAGTCTGTGCATAGGTGCATCTTAGGAGGGTATGTTTTCCAGTTTTTGGTCACAATACAAACTAGAAATCTCTTAAATAAGAGTATAGTTATTACAATCTACTGGTTTTCTAAAGGCCTTTGTTAAACAAACCTTGTCCTCAATGAAAATGCCTAGATCTAAGAAGTTCCAACTGAACTCACATGGGGAGTGAAGTGAAGGTTAGATGAATTCACATTTTTCAGGAATACATTGTTAATCCCTAGAGCCTTCCAGTATGCAAATTATATAGTCTATAATTTTTTTCCAGACAACTAGGCCTGCACCAAGTTTCCCATAAACCAGATAAAATTGGATTCCCAATCTGCTATATACAGATTGGTAAAACTGGGCACAAACCTTCTGCCCATAGCTCTTCCAAGTCACTGTTAAAAACCATCCATTGAAGTCTGGAGGGTCAAGGGTTTAGTATTCGGAATGTGAAGTGCATATAAGAAACTCCCCACCTGTAGGAAGCCCTTCCTTGAAAAAGACTGGCATATCCCAATTGAAACGCATCAGATTTAGGGTCTAGTGATGTCGCCAGATGAGAACAGTCCTTTTTTTCTGTAATGGCAGTACTTACAGTGCATTCATAAAGTATTCAGACCCCCTTCATTTTTTCAATTGTGTTATGTTGCAGCCTGATACTACAGTTGTTTAAATTCATTTTTTTTTTCATAAATCTAAACTCCGTACCCCATAATGACAAAGTGAAAACAGAATTTTAGAAATGTCTGTGAATTTATTAAAAAGAAAAAACTGAAATTTCACATGTACTTAACTGCTTCAATACCGGGCACTTTTACCCCCTTCCTGCCCAGGCCATTTTTCATGTTTGATTTCTTTCACGCTTTGAATGACAATTGCGCGGTCATACAATATTGTACTCCAAGTAAAATTTTATAATTTTCTTCACACAACTAGAGCTTTCTTTTGGTGATATTTAATCACCACTGGGGTTTTATTTTTTGCTAAATTACCAAAAAAAGACAGAAAATTTAGAAAAAAAAACCCACATTTTTCTTTGTTTCTATTATAAAAGTTTGCAAATAATTGTTGTTTATAAATTTAAGCCAAGATGTATTCTGCTACATGTCTTTGGTGAAAATAACCCAAATTAGGATGTATTTTTTAGTTTGTAGGAAAGTTATAGAGTTCAGGATTGATCAATATTCAGATATATCCCATAGTTTGTGAAGTTCTGACAGCCAATCTTATTTCTTGAGGTCCAAGAATGTCAGAACAGTACAGATATCCCCCAAATGACCCCTTTTTGCAAAGTAGACAGTCCAACATACTTCATAAGAGGCATGGCGAGTTTTTTTGAAGGTGTATTTTTTTTTGTCAAAATTTTTTCGGAAAATTAAAATATTAAAAAAATTATTTTCACTATTTTTTTTTTTTTTTGAATACTGTCCCAGTGCAGTACAGCATCATCATATAACTGGCATGGCAGTGATAAGGGACACTGACTAGTGACAGTATGGAAAAAAAAAATATGATTTAAAAAAAAAAAATATATATATATATATTTAATTTTTTTATTACATTTTTTTCTTTTTTTTTTAAGATTTTTTTTTTTTTTCATATTTCACTATGACCAAAGTAGTACAATGTTAACATAGTAACATTGTACTACTTTGGGGAAGTGATCAGTATTTTTTTTTTATACAATTTGCTTATAGCAAAGAATTACTTTGCTATAAGCAAGCATTTACCTGAATGACATCGATTCATTCAGGGTTGTTTTTTCTTTTTTTTTGTGCTTTAGCTGTGATTTGGTCACAGCTAATCACATGACACAGCTGGGCTGTGATTGGCCCAGCTTGTGCATGTGATCGCTGTGACCATTCACAGCTAGGCACACTAGTATACAATGGATGGCATGAATGAAGCCATCCGTTGTATATAACTGTCATGTGACCTGCTGTGACAGGTGATTGGTCACAGCAGGTCACATGTTACCGGCAACGGGGCTGGTACTCAGATCTGTCATCGGCTGTGTCTGAGGTACACGGCCAGTGACAGATCGCGCCGCTGCATGGCTCTGCAGGCGCGCAAACTGCGCATGTGTGAAAGGACGCCATATGGCGTCCACCCGGAAAGGTGAGTGTTTTTGCCGGCCGCCATTCGGCCATAGGCCGGGCGGAAACTGGTTAAGTACTAGGAGCCTTTACTTTGTCTTTTTGTGTATGCCGCAAAAAGCTATGCATACCTGGATTGGGGTATTTTCTGCCATTTTTCTTTGCAAATCCTCTCAAGCTCAGTAACGTTGGTTTGAAGACCATCGGTGGACAGCCATTATCAGGTCTCTCCAGAGATGTTCAGTAGGGTTCAAGTCAGGGCTCTGGCTGGGCTACTCCGGGACATTCACAGAGTTGTCCCTAAGCCACTCATGTGTTGTCTTGGCTGTGTGCTTAGGATCGTTGTCATGTGTGAAGGTGAGCCTTCGGCTCAGTCTGAGGTCTCGAGCCCGGTGGAACAGGTTTTCATTGAGGCTATCCATGTACTTTGCTCCGTTCAGCTTTCCTTCAACCTGACCAGTTTCTCAGTCCCTGCTGCTGAAAAACACCCCTACAGCATGATGCTGCCACCACCGTGCTTCACTGTTGGAATAGTATTGGGCAAGTGATGAATGGTGCCTGGTTTCCTCTAGACATAATGTTTATAATTGAGCCCAAAAAGTTCAATCTTGGTTTCATCAGACCAGAGAATCTTGTTCCTCACCTGTCTGAGAGTCCTTCAGGTGCTTTTTTGCAAACTTGAAGCAGGATTTCATGTGTTTTTGCTTCCATCTAGTCACTCTTGCCATAAAACCCAGATTGGTGGAGGGATGCAGTGATGGTTGTCCTTCTGGAACTTTGTCCAATCTCCACACAGGATCTCTGGCGCTCAGTCAGAGTGACCATCGGGTTCTTGGTCACCTCTCTTGCTTTTTCTTATTGCTCAGTTTGGCCAGGCGACCAGCTCTTGAAAGAGACAAAAAAATATATAAAGGAATGCGCTAAATACCAAATCACATGAAAATGCAGATAAATACATAAATAAAATAAAAAAAAACATGTTTATAAATGTCCGTAATTCATATTTAAGTCCAAACACCAATATAAGTGATTAAAAAATCTCTTAAACAAGAAAATGCCGCCCCTTGAAGATGTCGGATGACGAAACGCATAGGGCGGGGCTTAGTGGATGCTACGTCAGGACGCTCCTCGAGACTGTCGGCTGTGATCGCGGTGAGCGAGGCTCGTCCCTGCTTTAGCTTTTTGAGACTGATATTGCTGGTGTCGGTTGGACACCTTTCTTGTGAGTGCATATTTAAGGCTGCAATAAAAATTATCTTCGTTTTAATATACTGCACCATGATACTCTTCTTTGATTCCCCGAGCATTTCCAAAGTTATGAAGGCATGATGACCACTTGCAGTTAAGGCTGTTCCATGTGTGCTGATTTGGCTGATTGCAGTCTATTGCTCCTGGATACTCCAACAGATCATCGCTCCCAGAGCAATTGCTATTTTTGCTGATTTATAATTGATCAGCAAATAACTCTGGTGAGTTTACCCATTTCATTCGGTGGTGGATTTTGCTACAGTGTTTTTTTCTTGTTTAAGAGATTTTTTAATCACTTATATTGGTGTTTGGACTTCTATATGAATTACGGACATTTATAAATGTATTTTTTTTATTTTATTTATGTATTTATCTGCATTTTCATGTGATTTGGTATTTAGCGCATTCCTTTATATATTTTTTGTCACTTACCTTTTCTTTTGGTTAGGTTTGCAGCTTTATATATAATTTATTGGCGCTGTGTCTATATATTTTACAGCTCTTGAAAGAGTCCTGGTTGTGCCAAACTTCTGCTTAAGAATTTTGGTGGCTACAGGTGGACTCCAATCAAGGTGTAGAGACATCTCAACAATTAAAAGAAATGGGAAGCACCTGAGCTAAATTTTAAATGATGGCGCAAAGAGTTTGAATACTTTATGGCAATGTGATATTTCAGTGTTTCCTTTTTTCTTACATTTGCAAACATTTCTAAAATTGGGTTTTCACTTTGTCATTATGGGGTACTGAGTGTAGATTAATGAGGAAAAAATGAATTTAAACAACTGTAGTATCAGGCTGCAATATAACAAAACTGAAAAAAGTGAATGGGGTCTGAATACTTTATGAATATACATACTGTGCTTCACCAGTGACTCAGAGGCTGTGACCCTGTATTTTACAGCATTGCTTTTTTTTCTTCCCAAACCCATTACCTAACTGATATCCCACAAGTACACTGGAATTTAATGTGGACTACCAAACCCAGCAGATCTACATGGCTGATACATGCAGATATTGCAATTCATTATAATGTTTCAGGAATGTAAATAAAGGAACAGTATGGGCCCTTTCTCACTGCCCCAATTAAAAAAAAAAATATGGTAAAAATGCATATGCATTTTTTGATACATTTTTAGTTTTTGGTGTGTTTTTCTGGTTGCCATGCACCTGTGAAACATGGACATGTGACTCAAAAAGCACAACCATGGTGCATTTTTATGCATGTTCCATTTATTTAAATGGGAAGTGCATTGTTGCTGCACCTTTTAAATAGGGCACCAAAGATTCAGCATGCAGGACTTTTCAAAGCACACCGCACCCCCAGCACACTGGTATGAAGCGTTCCACAGGATTTAAAGGAAATATTTTATTGCAATTTTCTTGCACTTTTAACATGGTAAATGCGCTGCAAAAACGCATCAGTGTGAAAGAGTCCTATGTTGATATAACTATAGATGAGCATGCGTTGAGAATGGGAGAGCACTCACTGAATTGTCGGCAATAGTTGACACATATACATTTCACCTGGTGCGCTACCCACTATCATATAAGTGAAATAACAACACATGAATATAAAATTAAAATAAAAACATCGCAGAGTCCAAATATATGTGAGTGCAACCTAATAGATAGAAGTGCTCTGTCCATATCCAGTTGAAAAGGTGATCATAAAGCCAAGCTTCAAAGTGAACCTTCAGTGCTTCCACCACCAAACAAACAATTAGCCTCTTAACAGAAGCATTGATCTCATTAGTTTGAGGTCAATACACGCCTGTGTGCTCTTTGGGCAGCACCGATCACACCATATATATCTGCCAGATCTTATCTCGTCCACACCACTTGCTCCCAAATGGGAGAGATCTCCACCAAAGCAGACACAGCGTCCCTCAGGTTGAAAGATAGAAGAGGAACCGCAATAGTGTTATATTGCACAAAAAAAGTTTATTTTAAAAAGCGACATATATTCACATAAAAAAAAGAAAACAGAGCGCATATCAGTCAAACGCCGGGGTTCCAATGTTCCAATTTCTTCTTCAGGTATTCCTCTGCAGCATTTCTGCAGACGCTGTCAAATTTCCAGTCTTTGTTACCCAAGAGTCTCTTGCTGCTGTATCCTGTGAAACTTACCAGGTATCCCTAACTATACAACAGGCACAGGTAAGATTTTTCCTACGATACATCTCATTTAGAACACATTACCTTTAAAATAAGTTATTTTGATAACAAGCACATTGATGTTAGACATTTGTTCTACAACAGTGGACTCCAAACTGCGGCTCGGGGGGTGGATGCGCCCCTTTTCTTGCTTTTATCCAGCCCTTGGGCCACTATTTCCCCACTGTCAGCAATAGTGGAGCATAGTTCCTGCCAATGACACTGACAATGGGTCACTATTCCTCCCACTGACACCAACAATGGAGCACTATTCCTCCCACTGACTTCAACGATGGGGCACTGTCCCTCCCACTGACTTCAACGATGGGGCACTGTCCCTCCCACTGACTTCAACGATGGGGCACTGTCCCTCCCACTGACTTCAACGATGGGGCACTGTCCCTCCCACTGATGGCAGGACATTTTCTTCATCCACTGGCCACAGTTCGGTCCCCCTAAAGTTTCAAGGACAGTAAACTTGCCCTTTGTTTATTAAGTTTGGAGACCCCTGTTCTAGAAGACAAAAACCTGCCAGATAACTGTAGAAAGCATACTGATGAATGTGTACAGCTGTCTTGTGCTGAGTTCCTGGGGACCGAAAGATTAGAAGCAAAGTTTAATCATTTTACACTATAAAGCTCCAAAACACATCTGCAGTAGGCAAACCTTGTGCCTTTTTGTAACAGGTTTTTGGTTTTTATACATTCTTCTTTTTTTTTTTTTAATCCTGTTTTTTGGGTAGGCAGCGTAATCAACAAAGCATTCCCTGGAACATTTGCTAGCATGCCTTGCTCATTAGCAGACATTTGAGAGTCATATTCATCCTATTTATAAACTGGTGGCATGCTGAGAAGGTCATGATGCCTCTTCCCCACGTCTTAGGTTCAGCTCACTGTCCTCAGTCTGCTCAGATCTCACCTGTGGACCACAATCTCCATTCAATACTTTGGAAAGTTTGTTGAAAGGAAATTGTACCACACATATTGAGACACAACAAAGAAGATTCTGATTGAAGTCTATGCATCAACACTATTAAGGCTCATTTACACTTGCAGTTCCTGTTTTACTGCTTCTCTTTAGACTGCAAAGGCAGTGGAAGGGGCGATACTTTGCTTTGCAGCTACAAGAATGAAACTCTCCTGTACATTTTGCAGGCTGTACTGCCTGTTGAATGTGGCCCATTCAAGTGCAATGAATGTGGTTGTAGTGTGGTGGTGCAGGTTTTTAGGAGTTAAACAGGAAGTTAGAAGGTGACTTAACCACCTCTGAAACGTGATCCACCTCTGATTGCTCTTCAGCAGGCTATTGCATGTGTAAGCTATCCCTTAGTGCAGTTACATATTTTTGTAAGCAGGTAAGAATGCTAAAGAACATTTCTTAAAGTGTCTTTTAAAGGCAAAAATGTTTCCCCTTTCACTCCAAAACATTTTTCCTAACTGTGTGGTGAGCATTTGTTTCAAAAGAGAGTAAATACCTGTTGATCCTGTCAGTGCATATTACTTCCATGTTCAGTGTGGCAACAGTATGCTGAGCAATTAAGGCCCCATGTACACAGGACGTTTCTGAACGATGGAAACTGACTGTTGGAAAACGTAGGTTAAAAAACGCCTGTTTAGCCGCGTTTGCATAACACGTTTATGTGCGTTTGCGTTTTAGAAGTGTTTTTTAAAGATACGCACAGGAGAACCTCCCGAATGCACTGAAAAGTGGTAAATTATTAACTATTTCAGACTGTCGGAGAAATACAGAGAGTAGAAGCAGAGACAGCAGTATGTGTTGAGATAATTAGGCGTGAGTTGCTCATTAACATTTCTTTTGTTTCCAAGGGTGGGAAAGGTGTCTGGTGGAGGGAGTCATTAAGGTCACCTGCCAGGGGGTCTTCATGAGGAATTTGAGGTGTGAATGGTCATTAATATCTCTTTTGTTTCCAAGGGTGGGAGAGGTCTGAGGTGTCAATTGGTCATTACAATGTGTGACAAGCTTGGTAGGAACATCCTGTGTTCAGTGTTTTGTCCATCTAAGAACCTTGAAAACTCTTTGCATGCATTTTTCATGATGAAAAAAGGCTCTGGACAGCATTGGGAACTGGAAGAGTTAAAAAAAGAAAAATTCAAACGCTTATAACGTGATTTGCCACATTTACAAGCATTTTGCATTTGAAACACTGATAAAATCAACGTCTGAACGCACGTTTGTTGTCAAGAAAACGACTGTAAACTCAACTGCCTGTAAACGACTGTAAACGAAGATGTGTACATGGACACATAGGAAAACATTAGGGAGAGTTCAGGGGCTGCTGAACAAATGCTGAACAGCTCCTAAACGTGAGTTTATCAGATGCAGTGTACATGAGCCCTAACCGTGTTCTGTGTTGCCACTAGCCATCCCGTGTGACAAACCTGAACGTCAAATGGGAGGGCTACAGCATAATGATTGACAGTGGGATTTTTCTACAGCTGCCACATGACTTTTGAAAAATAAATCCTTCTAAATACCACCAGCTTTGGTTTAAAAATGCCCTTATAAGTTATGATTGCCAAGTTTCATAAACCTTGTTTACATTCAATCTGTTTTTCTGTACTCTTCTCAGTGACGTCTCAGGGGTTACCCCTACAACCTGGTGGGGTGGCGCTAGAGCTGTAATTGACAGTACAGTACTTCTGTTTTATGGGGTCCACATTCAGAGATGTCATGTGCCAGAAGAAAGGAGGAGAGAATTGGAGGTACTGCGCTGTCAATCACTTCCATAATGCCACCAGACAAGACTGTAGGAGAGTCCCATGGGGCACCACTGAGAAGAGTATAGAAGAACTTAGATTTAATGTAAACAAGGTTTATGAAACTTGGTAATGATAACTTATAAGGGCTTTTTTAACTAAAAAATATTGCTATTTAGATGTTTTTTGTTATTTCACAAATATACATTTGACCGGCTGAGAACCAGTTGGCTCTGCATAGTCCCAGGCAAATGTCTTGCAGTGACGTGCAGGACATGTCACAATCTGGGAATGAGCTCCACCCACACATTGCCCATGGACCAGAAGAGGAACTGGATAAAGATCACATGACCAAGATACAGAAAGTTTAAAAGATATTTACAATCATTCTAATGCTGCGTTATGAACCACAATGTTAATGCTTTATATTTTTTCACATATGTCAAAACCATATGTAGCGCTACCTCCATAGGAGATGCTTGTATCTTGCCCAGGTTTCCCCCTAGATCTTCACCCGCAGCCAAGCACACAGTATTCCCTTTAGCCAGGTGCACACAACTTCTGTTTGTTACTCCAATGATCAGTCTAGGGGTTGTAGTTTTTGTTGTTTTTATTTTGTTTTAAAACTGGGATAGGGAAGGGATATATTGGGATACTCAGAATTGAACTGTGCACTATTTAGGACAGCTTTCTATAAGTAGATCTGTGCAGCAAGCTTTACAAAGAATGGAGAAAAGTCACTCTGTAGAAAAGCAGAGCTTAGTGGACAGGTGCTCTTCTGGACACCAACTGGTGTCCCCTCTAGCTTACACCCGATAGTGGACTATATAGGTCCGGAGGGGGTTTAACAGCACAAGTCCCAGCATTCCTGTAGAACAGTCTGTACTCACAAGGTCCTTGCTGAAGGTCACCTTCTTCCGTGATAGCAGACATGATCTGTAGACCTCCCCTCAGTCAGCTCTCAGAAGCACCCTGGGTTTCAGCATTCACCCACGTGAGGCCTCTTGGCAGTATGAGCCAGGGGAGGCAGCCTCTTCCCTGGCTGGAACTCCATTCTCAAAGGAAGAAGAACCCAGATCCCATGTGCTCGCTGAATAGAAATACTAGTACCCAGAATGCTCAAGGACACCACTCCCTGTACTTGGCTGGAACTGCATCCATATTCCTGCTGCTGATCTGCCTGGGTCACTCCTGTTCACCCAGAACCTTCCAAGGTCTTCTGGATACAGAGGAGCCAATCACAGCAGCAGCACTGTGAGCTACACATGATATCCTCGCTAAACAAATTGTAGCTTATCTGTTAAGCAGACAATGTGCCATCTTTTGCCTATCAGTCTCCGGTTAAGCAGGAGAAACCCTATACCTAACTAGACCAGGGGCGGACTGACCATTTGGAAACTCAGGCACTGCCCGGGGTCAGTAGGGGGCCCGTTTTCATAGGCTTATTTGAGTTTGGGCAAGGACACAGGGTCCCCATGATCCCCTATTGCCCAGGGGCCCCATGAGTTGTCAGTCCACCCCTGAACTAGACTATATACATCTTAGCAACCTACCTATGAGGGTGCTACACATGTATCACTACGTGAAATGCCTTAACTCTATGCAGTCTAAATTTCTGGCATAGAAAGTTGTTTTTTTCCCCCACAACAAAATGTATTAAATGGGACTTGCTAGATCCCTGACTGAAGTGACTACTGAGTTTGGCAATCGTTTTTTTCTACCACTGTTGCAGAATTTCTTTTCTCTTGCCAACCAAAGAAAAAAAAATGATTTATTTCTTTTATGTGTCCAGGTAGAAGTTAAACTACAGGAACAGGTACTAGAAGGGCTGCTGGTGTCCTGGAGTTTCAAGGACCGACCTAATATGTTGCTTGAGATTATTCCTACCCGATCACATCAGGTAAACAAGCTAAAATGGTTCAATAATTTTGGTTCCTGATTTATACGTCTAGCTTGAGGAATCACTTCAAATCAAGGCAAGTAAATATTAAACATGTTATGGTAACCTTTCCCCAGATTTAAAATTCCTGACCAAGCTGACCTGTTCATCTTTTGTTGATCTAATGTCTGGGTCAGCTGCAAAGCATGATTAAAACAATGTATTCAATGAGTAGGACAGGTGAAAACAACATTTCTTCAGAAGGAAGGGAAAAGATGAGAGTTAGCTTCAGAATTTATATGAACCCTAAATGAGTAACATTTTGTTAGTGTTTGGTTGTAAATCAGCACGTTTTCTTCATTGTTGTAAGCGATTGGGTATTGTACCTTTGTTATAAAGCACATTCACCACCTGCTCATTCACCAACTTCTGTCATTTTACCACACATTTCGATTTCCTATTCCCCAAAGGGTAACTGAGGTCTTGGTAATATTCACCATATTTATAATAGTAAATGCTACAACAACTAATCCTTTATCCAAACCCTGCCTGCAGGCACCCAACAATCTATAGTGCAATGTTTCCAATATACCCAAAGGCACCAAACTGACTGCTAACCAATGACCCCCCAAATGATCTTTTATCCTCCACTTAACTTGAAATGCACTCACCAGCCATTTTATTAGCTACACCTGTTCAATTGCTAATCAACCAATCACAGCAAATTGCAGGAACTCAACTTAGATATCTAGATGTGGTGAAGACGACTTGCTGAATTTCAAACTGAGCATCAGAATGGGGAAAAAAGGGGAATTAAGTGACTTTGAACGTGGCATGGTTGTTGGTGCCAGATGGACTGGTCTGAGTATTTAAGAAAACTGCTAATCTACGTGGACTTTCATGCACAAACATCTCTAGGGTTTACAGAGAATGGTCCGAAAAAGAGAAAATATCCAGAGAGCGGCAGTTGTGTGGACGAAAATGCCTTGTTGATGTCAGAGGAGAATGGGCAGACTGATTCGAGATGATAGAAAGGCAACAGTAGCTCCTGTTAATATGGACAAAAAATTTCTGAGGAATGTTTCTAACACCTTGTTGAATCAATGTCACAAAGAATTAAGGCAGTTCTCAAGGTAGAAGGGGGTCCAACCCGATACTAGCAAGCTGTACATAATAAAGTGGCCAGTTAGTGTATGCTTTAAAACCCATGATTTGAGGCCTCCCCCTTCCATCTCCACCTGCCATTTGTTTGACCGACTGCCATTCTAGTTTATTTTCAAACTATATTAACAAATTGTACATTGCAATTCTCAGTTGTTTTTATCATTGCTAAATTAGTTCTCACATAAAAAAATGCTACAAGAAGCTTTCTCGTGATATTTGATGTTTAGTGATAGTAAATAATTGATTTTACCAATTTCCTATTACTTTCTATGATGTACAGTGCTTTGAAAAAGTATTCATACCCCTTGAAATTTTGTCATGTTACAACCAAAAACGTATATGTATTTTATTGGATTTTATGTGATAGACCAACACAAAGTAGCACATAATTGTGAAGTGGCAGGAAAATGATAAATGGTTTTCAACATTTTTTACAAATAAATATCTGAAAAGTGTGTCATGCATTTGTATTTAACCTCCTTTACTCTGATACCCCTAACTAAATTCTTGTGGAACCAATTGCCTTCACAAGTCACCTAATTAGTAAATAGAGTCCACTTGTGTGTAATTTAATCTCCGTATAAATACAGCTGTTCTGTGAAGCCCTCAGAGGTTTGTTAGAGAACATTAGTGAACAAACAGCATCATGATGGCCAAGGAACACACCAGACAGGTCAGGGATAAAGTTGGGATTAGTTTAAAGCAGGGTTAGGTTTATAAAAAAAATATCCCAAGCTTTGAACATCTCATGGAGCACTGTTCAATCCATTATTTGAAAATTGAAAGAGTATGGCACAACTGCAAACCTACCAAGACATGACTGTCCACCTAAACTGACAGGCCGGGCAAGGAGAGCATTAATCAGAGAAGCAGCCAAGAGGCCCATGGTAACTCTGGAGGAGCTGCAGAGATCCACAGCTCAGGTGGGAGAATCTGTCCACAGGACAACTATTAGTCGTGCACTCCACAAATCTGGCCTTTATGGAAGAGTGGCAAGAAGAAACCATTGTTGAAGAAAGCCATAAGAAGTCCTGTTTTGCAGTTTAGAAGAAGCCATGTGGGGGACACGGAAAACATGTGGAAGAAGGTGCTCTGGTCAGATGAGACCAAAATGTTACATTTTGGCCAAAAAGAAAAAACGCTATGTGTGGCAGAAAACAAACACTGCACATCACCCTGAACACACCATACCCACCGTGAAACTTGAAGGTGGCAGTATCATGTTGTGGGGATGCTTTTCTTCAGCAGGAACAGGGAAGCTGGTCCCAGTTGATGGGAAGATGGATGGAGCCAAATATGGGTCAGAGTCTGCAAAAGACTTGACTGGGGTGGAGGTTCATCTTTCAGCAGGACAATGACCCTAAACATACAGCCAGAGCTACAATGGAATGGTTCAGATCAAAGCTTATTCATGTGTTAGAATGGCCCAGTCAAAGTCCAGACTTGAATCCAATTGAGAATCTATGGCAAGACTTAAAAATTGCTTTTCTTAGACACTTTCCATCCAGTCTGACAGAGCTTGAGCTATTTTGCAAAGAAGAATGAGAAAAAAATTACACTCTCTAGATGTGCAAAGCTGGTAGAGACATAACCAAAAAAAGATTTGCAGTTGTAATTTCAGCAAAAAGTGGTATTACAAAATATTGACTCAGGGGGGCTGAATACAAATGCAAGCTATACTTTTCAGATATTTATTTGTAAAAAAGTTTGAGTACTGTCCGTGATACTTTTTTTATTTGCACTAACATACAATTTTGAGGACAAGCTTTCGAGGTATGTCCCCTTCTTCAAGCAGTACTAACAATCACCTCAAGTAAAAAAGTTTGAAAACCATTTATCATTTTCCTTCTACTTCAAAATTATGTGCCACTTTTTGTGTTGGTGTATCACATAAAATCCCAATAAAGTACATTTACATTTTTGGTTGTAACATGACAAAATGTGGAAAATGTCAAGAGTATAAATACTTTTTCAAGGCACTGTATAGATACCCGCGCACTCCTTTCTGCACACATTGATCACAAATAAATATTTTCAGCCTTAAATCCCCCTTTGCTGGGATTTGATCTGTTTCCTCCACTGGGGAACTTTAAACCTTCCCTGCACTTTTCATTTCCACTCATTTTTATTGAAAGTTTCATGGAAAAATGCAAGATTCCAAAGTTCTCTCATATGCAGATCAGTAAGCTATAAACATACAACAAAGTACAAGGGGTTGCAAAGATGAATAAAAGAATACCTATCTTCCATGAAATGTTGCCTTGCCCAATACTGAGCTCAGACGGTAATGTCATGAGACCATAGAATTGGTGGGGATAAGAGAGAGCCACCACCATACTTCGTTTATCTGCATCTGCAAAAAAGGAACCTTTATATTCCCTATTTGTGCAATACCTTCCCTACATTTCTAAGGTAATTTATTTGCTTTAGGAAAGGGATTATGCCTTGGTTCACCAGGTAATAATATACACTATATTGCCAAAAGTACTTGGACATCCTTCCAAATCATTGGCGTCCGGTGTTTCAATCACCTCCATGACCGCAGGTGTATAAAATCAAGGACCTAGGCATGTAGACTGCTTCTACAAACTTTTGTGAAAGATTGGGTCGCTCTCAGGAGCTCAGTGAATTCAAGCGTGGTACCGTGATAGGTTGTCACCTGTGCAATAAGTCCATCCATGACATGTTCTTGCTACTAAATATTCCACAGTCGACTGTCAATGGTATTATAGCAAAGTGGAAGCAACTGGGAACAACAGCAACTCAGCCATGAAATGGTAGGCCAAGTAAAATGACAGAGCAGGGTCAGCCCATGCTAAAGTGCACAGTGTGTAGAAGTCGCTAACTGTCTGCAGAGTCAATAGCTAAAGGCCTCCAAACTTTGTATGGCCTTCGGTTTAGCACAACTTTGCATAGAAAGCTTCATGGAATGGGTTTCCATTGCCAAACAACTGCATTCAAGCCTTACATCATCAAGTGCAATGCAAATTGTCGGATGCAGTAGTGTAAAGCACGCCGCCACTGGATGCTAGAGAAGTGGAGACTTGTTTTCTGTTCTGGAGCGATGAATCACACTTCTCTTTCTGGCAATCCGATTGGATGCGTCTGGGTTTGGCAGTTGCCTGAACAGTACTTGCCTGATTGCATTGTGCCAAGTGTACAGTTTGGTGGAGGGGAAATTATGGTGTGGGGTTGTTTTTCAGGGGTTAGGCTTGGCCCCTTAGTTCCATTGAAGGGAACTCTTAAGGCTTTGACATACCAAAACATTTTTGGGCAATTTCATGCTCCCAACTTTGTGGAAACAGTGTGGGGATGGCCCCTTCCTGTTCTAAAATGACTGTGCACCAAGGCATGGATGAGCGAGTTTGGGGTGGAGGAACTTGACTGGCCTGTCCTGACCTCAACCCTATAGAACACCTTTGGGATGAGTTAGAGTGGAGACTGTGAGCCAGGCCTTCTCGTCCGACATCAGTGCCTGACCTCACATGTGCTTCTGGAAGAATGGTCAAACATTCCCATAGACACACTTCTATACCTTGTGGACAGCCTTCCCAGAAGAGTTGAAGTTGTTAGAGCTGCAAAGGGTGGGACAACTCAATATTGAACCCTAAGACTAAGATACAGATGGCATTAAAGTTGATCTGTGTGTCAATATAGTGTATTTGCCCTTATAGTTTGGTAAGAAACCGTTCTCTTTGATGCACCTTTTTGTTCTGTCTTCTTTTTGCGATCTTTTTGCTGTGTGCTTTTTTTGATGGTCCTTCATGCATCAAATCACAATTAAACCCATATCTCCAACTTTGTAAATGCAGTATTAAATACTATGATTTCTATTCAACACACTTTTCTGATTTTGTACATTACTTTGTCTACCAGATGATATCTTGGAACATCTGTACTGTTTTTTTGTGTACTGGAATATTTTCTTTTATATGCATTCCAATAACATTCACCAGTAAATTAGTGTTGGTTTATTTTCGTTCAGCCAGAGATGGAGAAATTCACCCCCTACCAGGACCTAGTATTGTATGACAGCGGGACTTGTCACTGGCAGAATATTCTGATCAGTGGCTGCAGCTGCTGATCGAGAAACATTTTGCAACATGTCCTTTCGACACTGATCGAGACTAAGACAGTCCCTGCTGAACCAGCTGAATTTTGATCAGTGTATGGGCTGCTTAAATCTCAGCATTCCTGTACACTGAATTCTCCATGTGGTGTGGCAGCAGTAAAGCCAGAGCCTGGTTGCAATAAAACTTGGAACTTGTCTTGAAGCAAGTGCCAAATGCAAACACCCCAGTGGGAGAACGCTGCTTGGGGAAAACACTCACAGTTCAGTCAGAGGCATAGATGTATTGGGGAGAGATGCACCAACACCGTCTTTTTTCAGAGGGTGGAGTGCGATCTGGCCAATTCGGTCCCAAAAAGGGGAGGCTTACTTGAAGATGGCGAATCCCTAGCCTCATCAGGAACCTTTTCCTGCCACTAGTCATGTTCCCTGTCAGGGTTTCTCTTTCTACCCTGCCCACATCACAAAAACATGCCAAAACCCAGGGGCAGGGACTTATAAAAACCCTGCTGACCCAAGATGGCTGCCAGATGTCACATGGATGCAGTGTAGCCCTGACCTTTTCTCCAGGCTGTGGTAGCACTCATTTGAGCCCCCATGGAGTGGAGTAAACAGACTGCACCTGCCTACATCCACAATCCTGAATTTCATGTAACTCATAAATGTTGTTTGCATCAAGCAAAGCATGAAGAAGGCGAAGCATTGAAGTTTGACGATCCTTCATTAAAAAGCCGGTCATACATAGATTGAAATTTGTCCAGTTCCAACAGGGACCAGCAGACGTTTGATCTATGTATGGGCTATCTGGTTATGTACAACCAGCCTGTCGGGTTTTTCCAAAATGATCAGTGCCGCTGGCTATAGCAGACAGCACTGATCATTGTATTCCACCAGCAGGGAGAATACAATAGCACAGTGGGGGCGATTCCCCCATCCACACCAAAACTGTGGATGGGGGAATTGGTTCATTTATTCATGAATCATGTATGGTCTTCCTAATTCTGAATTTCATGTTTTGTTTTGATCCATATTTTACTTTTGAGAAGTATTGTTATGAATGGACCATTTTGCCGTATACCCTTTAAATATTTCAGCCTTTAACTTAATTTAAAAGTCCAGCTACCCGTCCAGAGCAAATCTGTCTTAGAATGTTTTTTTTCACACACAGAGCACAGAGAGGAGTGCAGATCTTTGCACATTAAAAGATCTAATACAGAATGCTCTGTTCTCAGCGGAACCTGCCATGATGTTCACTCTGAATGCTAATATTGGTGATACGGTGAGTCCCTATTTCTGCTTCTTTATTTGCCTTTTATGTTCTCTTTTTCTCATAACATTTTCTGTGCTGCACAGGGTATTTGTGACAAACTGCTAACAGAATCCTCCTCAAAAACGGAGCCTTTCAGACTAATTGTTCAACAGCTGCGTCTACACAACGTAATGCTGCTAGAAGCTGGTAAGGCCTTGTTTTCTTATACTGTTGTCTGTGGAATGGGTTTATTTTTTATAGGTGAGCCTACCAATCTAAAAATCTCATGTAGGCCACAGGTGTGGTTTCCCATAGTAGACATACTCCAGTGTCCTTTCTACATCCAAATGATCATATTTTACAAATGGGTGCATAGAAAGTGTCATAAATAATCTCACTATAATGGACTTTTATATATTTCAAATCTTATTTACAGTTTTGAAAACTGTGTCTTGGCACTTGGTTGTATTCTGTACTGGGAGTGGAGTTGGCAGCAGTAGATACATTACTGAACAGAAAACATAGATATGGCACCTTTTTACAGTGTCTGAGCAGAGAGAGTAGCCACAACCATTGGCATTATGACAAGCAGAGAGTACTAATGTCTACACTTTACCACTATATAAGCAGATATTTCATTACTGATCTAAACAGGAATACACAACAATGTACTAATAAGTAATACCTGACCTTCATGACACAATTAAGGAACATGGAAGAATAGTGCTGAATTTGTAAGGGTATCTTATTGTAGTTGCTATTGTAATGTAATGAGGTTGATGTAAGTGTTCTGGTTTCTGGGCAGGCAGCTTCTACACCCCAGAGGATCTACACAGTCTCCTTGGCTTGTAGTGGAATGGAAAAAAAATGTGAGTTGAAGTGCCACACCACTGCTGGAAGGGTCGGATACAACTTTATTCCAATAAGGGTCAGGGGGACAATCAAAAGAGTTTTCCACGTTTTTGGGGAACATAAATACCGCCTTGACCTGCTTGAGATTGAAAACCAAGTATAGGGACTAGGAGGTAGTGGAACCTTTAGTTGTATTTCTTCCAGTGGTTTTCTCTGCACAGTTCTGATCAGCATCTAGTTTAGCTCATAACTGATTGTTATCCGAATGTTTGTATTTGTTCATTGTAAATCTTTTTCACAATTCATAATCCCACCACTGTTGGCCTAGGACACAAGGGTGACAACCTTCAAAATGATCCCAAGCAGTGAACAACTCACAGATCAGTGTTTCTAATGGTAGGGGCAGTTTGATTAAACTGCACGGCAGATAGCCTGCACATTACCACACCTAAAAGTACACCAGTAGTGGCTTCAAGAAAGTAGGACAGCCTCATTTGCAGATCTCATATTGCCTAGAAGGACTTGGCTTTACGTAATCAACAGGATATCAGAATAACATCAGTGCATGAAAAATGTTTAGTGTCGCATTCAGTTCTGACCCTGATTATAACAGTATGCATGCAACAGGATCACCTCACTGCAAGAGAATGATCAAAGTAAAGGCTGTCTGTTTTGCTGGTATGTTTATAGGATACTTTCCTCATGGAAGTGTCAGGGCAGGAGCTGAGGAACGGACAGGCAGGCCTAACAATGTAACGCACTGGCTGACGACAACCACCACCCACAGACCGAAATCCCTCAGGGCGCGGAGTCTAAGTCCCAGGCTGCCCTTCACCAGGGCCCCTGATGGGGATGGACTTGACGCAGCCAGGAACCAGGTCGCGGCCCCCGAGACACCTCAGTTGCGGTAATGGCCGCCGCCAATGGCGTGTAGCTGGTGGAAAAGACAAAAGAGTAGTCAGGCAGGCCGGGTAAACAACAACGGGACAAAACGGTACAGGACAGCAGACGAGAATCACTGGTCACAAGCCGGGTTCAGCAACAGAGGGTCAGATCAAAGGAGAACACAAAGAATAGTCGAGTCACAAGCCGAGTCAGATTCCAGGAGAGTCACGAGAGTCAGAACAGAGTAATAGCAACACAAAGACACAAGTGCAAAGAGCATGTGCGGACCACAGGCTTATATGTCATCAGCCACACCCCTCTGGGGGATGGACCTCAGATACCTGAAGGCATAAAAGGATTCCCACCATGCACAGCAGAATCCAAGATGGACGCCAGCACATGGAGTAACATAACCTCAGGGAAAAGGTAGGACCTTGACAGGAAGCTGACTATCAGTGGAGTGGTGGCTAGGATGAATACTGCAATGAAACTTTGCTGTATAGAATATTTGAACAATAGCTTGTCACTTCCATTGCCATCTGTTTGTTGGATTTATTTTATTTTAACTTTATGTATGGATAATGAGAAAATGGGCTTCAGAATACTGTAAATATGTGTTTTTTCACTTAGATTTGCATTATCACAGTATTGGACGTTGCTCTTGTATTAACGCTTCTTCATTTTCTGTCTCATGTAATTTTGATGTTCTTCTTTTAGATGTTCAATTGATGTGTGAAGCGGAGTTGGACAATCCTTTCCAAAGAAAACAGACCCGAGTTATCAGATTGCAGAACAAAGGGGAGGTCTGCAGTGTCTCATGGACTGAGGAAATGACATTGTGAGCAGGTGTAATGGGAAATGAAGTGTGTCAATGTTCAGTAGAAAAGAGCTTTTTATAGGGCGGATGACTGAAAGTTTTTGATTTGCTTTAGGTGCCCTGCAAGATAATATTCTTTTGATTTTGAAGAACTGAGGATAACTGTTGTTTTTCTTGTACAGTGACCTTACCCATCAGAGTAAGGGACTTTCTTTGAAGGTATATCAGCTGTCCAAGGGAACAGACAGTACGTATTAATTTGAGTTTTACTGATGGGTGAAATCATTGTTAATTGTTGATAAATGAATGTTAATTGATGATATTGATAAAATATGTACATACTTCCATTCAACCATCTGTGCTACCCTTTTTTTCTGAGCAGATGTCCTTTTGGGGAACACCTTAGTGGCTCTGTGTTCACCGGGTAGAGAAATGAGTCGAAGGCATGTATACCCTCTGACTCCAAGTCCAGTGTTGCCTAAAACAACAATGCAAGCCATCTCTGTGGAGGTGAGAAATGCTAAACAATAGACATTCTAGCATGTATATACTGTATATATGTACATAGGAACTGGATGCAGAAGAGCATACACTGCCTTTGCACATCTGGGCTGTGTTCTGCCTAGCTTTCAAATGTCCTCCTGTTGGTGCGAAGAGGTGGTCTCATTTTAAATGCTTTCTCATGGACTGAGTTGCAGTACAGTAGTACTGCCGGCTGATTTGGAATTGGGCTTGGTTCTACTTAAGATTCATGAAGTTTGGGCAACTGTTATCAGCTAGTTAAAGCCGATCTATTTGAAACTCTTCAAACCTGCATGAAATCTATAACTTTTACCATTAGAAAGCATTTCCCGACACATATAAAGTGAGTTATGTCTAGGCTCGGGAGGAGAGATTGGGAGATTGCCATCAGTCTGCTGCAGATAGGAGCTGTCAAGTTTTTTTTTTTTTTTTTTTTTTTTTTTTTTTTTCTTTTTTTTGTGATCTGTGCTCCATTGGAGAGATTTCTCTTCACTTCCTGTCCCGTAGTCACAATGAGAAGCAAGAGGAAACCTCTTCAAACTTGGGGAAATCCTCTCGTAAACTCTTTTCACTGCAACAAGTATGAAAGCTTTCCTGTTCTATACCTGTTCTTGTTAAAACAAGTGTTGTATTTAACAACAGTTGTTGTAATGGTTACCACAACCAATGAAGTGGATAATTCTCCCCACCGTATCCAAAACCTTAAAAAAAAAAAGCTTTGGCTTTAGATACATGGTAATGATGGTAGCACAGCCGTCTTTATAACATGGTAGATTACTCCGGTATTTTGGCAACAATCTTTGCAATCCCCTGTTATGTTGAAGCATCTATTAATAGTTCTTGCAAAATTAGTGATACAGTATATACAGTTAGATCCATATATATTTGGACACAGGCACAATTTTCATACTTTTGGCTCTGTATGTCACCAGAATAAATTATAATGAAACAATCCAAATGAATATGAAGTGCAGACTTTCAGCTTTAATTCAAGGGGTTGAACATAAATATCAAGTACAAATTTTAGGAACTGCAACCATTTTTATACACATTCCCTCCATTTTCAGGGGCTCAAATGTAATTGGACAAATATAATCATAAATAAAATGTTCATTTTTAATATTTTTGTTTAGAATCCTTTACTGGCAATGACTGCCTGAAGTCTGGAACCCATGGACATTACCAACGACTGGGTTTCCTCCTCTGATGCTTTGCCAGGCTCTAACTGCAGTTGTCTTCAGTTGTTCTTTGTGGGTCTTTCTGCCTTTATTTTTGCCTTTAGCAAGTGAAATGCATGCTCAATTGGGTTGAGATCAGGTGATTGACTGAACCATTGCAGAATATTCCACTTCTTTTCCTTCAAAAGCTCCTGGGTTGCTTTTGCAGTGTGTTGTGGATCATTGTCCATTTGTACTGTGAAGTGCCGTCCAATCAACTTTGCTGCATTTGGCTGAATCTGGGCTGACAGTATCTCTCAACACTGCAGAATTCATCCGGCTGCTTCTGTCACATCATCAATAAACACCAATGACCCAGTGCCACTGGAAGTCATGCATGCCCATGCCATCACACTGCCTCCACCATGTTTTATAGATGACATTGTGTGCTTTGGATCATGAGCTCTTCCAAGCCTTCTCCACACTGTATTTCTTCCTGTCATTCTGGTACAGATTAATCTTAGATTCATCCGTCCAAAGAATGCTTTTCCAGAACTGGTCTGGCTTTTTTAGATCTTTTTGGCAAAGTCTAATCTGGGTTTTCTATTCTTCAGGCTTTTGAATGGTTTGCACCTTGTGCTGAACCCTCTGTATTTGCTCTGGTGAAGTCTTCTCCTGATTGTAGACTTTGACAATGATACGCCCACCTTCTGGAGAGTGTCCTTCACTTGTCTGGATATTGTGAATGGGCTTTTCTTTACCATAGAGAGAATCCTGCGATCATCCACCACTGTTGTCTTTCGTGGATGTCTATTCCTTTTTATGTTGCTGAGCTCACCAGTACATTTTTCTTTCTTCAGAATGTACCAAACTGTTGATTTGGCCACTCCTAATGTTGCTGTTATCTCTCTGATGGATTTGTGTAGTTTTTGAAGCCTTACAATGGCCTGTTTCACTTGCATGGGCAGCTCCTTTGAACGCATGGTGTAGGTTCACAGCAATAGATTCCAAATGCAAATACCACACTTAGAATCAACTCTAGACCTTTTACTTGCTTAATTGATGAAGAAATAATGGCCATGAAACCGCTTTTGATTCAATTGCCCAATTACTTTTGTTTCCCTTGAAAAAGGGGGGATGGCTACTCTTATGAGCTGTAATTCCTAAACCCTTCCTCCAATTTGGATGTACATACTCTTAAATTAAACCTGAGTGGGCACTTTCAGCCCATATCCATTATATAACTATAGCTTGAATATGTTTTGGTAAATACCTGGAAAAAAAAACTAAAATTGTGCCTGTGTCCAAATATATATGGACCTAACAGTACATTGGGAGCTTAAGTGGCTGCTTAAAAACTACACCATTGTAAAAAAAAACAAATTAAGGGTGAATATGAAAAAGAGCAAAAGCTCAACAGGTTAGTTTATTACCACTGAAGTACCTGTATTTACACAGAGGATTACAGCCAGTTGATATTTGAGCATCGTTGTCTATCACTGAGGATTTTTACACTGGAGACTGTAACTGTTTTTGAAAGCTAGCTAAAAAAAATTGTTTGGGTTCTGTTTTTAGTGAATAATTTTTTTGTGAACTAGAAGACCGCTTTCTGTTTGTCCATGTTTTCATCCATCCGTTGCTGGATGAAAAAACGGACATTAGTGCATCTCAATGGAAAAATGGATGTAAACGAGTGATCGTCTGTTTATGTACGCATCCGTTTTTTGGAACGGATCAAAAGCCTATTTTTGTTCCGTTAAAAAAACGAAACGGACTAAGAAACGGATGTAAACGAACAAACGGTCCATTTTATGCATTGGTAGTGGATGTAAAAAACTGATGTAAACTGATGAAAAACTCCATCCGTTTTTTTTCTTTGAAAACTGAACTGATGGAAAAAAAAACCTGAACTCCCATGTGAAAGAACCTTTAGACCTTGCACTGTATCTGTTTGACTTTAAATACAATTGATCTTGTAGATTTCATCTAGCTTCCAGTTCTGATCTCCATTCACAATTCCATATACCATAGGTTAACCTTATTTATGCTGCTCTGGGAACACCAACTGAGAGACTAAGTATCACACCTACTAAGAAGGTGGAGATGGATCGCACTGTAATGCCAGATGGTACCCTAATAACTACTGTAACTACCATTCAGTCCCGACCCAAGTTTGATGGGAAGATGGGTAAGCTTTTTTTCATGTGCTTTGCTCTGAATGATTATATTTCCTCATCTAGAATTCTATATTTTACATAGATTTATATATTCTACATTTTTTATCTAATTATACTGCTTTTAAGATATTTCAGGTTTCCAGAACTCAGCAAGTCATGTTGCTGCTTATGGTCAATTATGGAATAATTTTATACTCTTCTAATTGAGTGAATGAAAAAAAAGATAATGACTTCAATATGGTTGGACTGTTTATCCACATGCATCAGACATGATGGTGTACCTTCATCTATCCAAAAGCATTTGTTAAATTCTTGAGCCAAGTGCTGAAGGACAGGGTTATCAGATGTGGTCCTACACACCATACTTAGGCCAGATCTCGTAAGAGTTATTACTGTACTTGGAAGATATATTTTGCGTGCTGTGAGCTTCTAGAAGTACACATTTACTCCTCCGTTTCCCATCCTCTGGATTTCTCCAGCTTGGAGTGGAGCAGCAGATGGCCTTAAGCATATTAACAAGTCTGGTGCAAACAGTGGTGTTTTTTTTTTTTTTTTTTAATGCCCTCTTGCCTGCACCTTTATTACGTACATCACTCCTCCAGTCAGGCCACTGTTGTCACCATAGGATCTTAACCTGATATTGCAAAAAAAAAACACCTTTTGAGAATATTCTGGAGATCCTGCTGCTAATAATCTCTCAGAAAAGTGACATTACTTCAGCATGTAGAGTGGTTCTTAATAAGAAAAAGGGTTTTCTGTGCCCAAGACTATTTACTGCCTAATGTGGTATCTTCTTTCCACTTGAATGATCAAAGCCAGTCCACCCTAAGAAACTGATGTACATTATTTGATGTAATCAGGGTGAGTAGGGAGTATTTGTATACCATGTCTGGGTTTCGTAAGTTACAATTTCTTGTTCATGGTTGTAGAGGGCCCACGTATGGGCCTTGCAGCGTCGGCTGTTATTATCTCACGATGGATCTGGCAAACTATTGTTCAGGCATATGGTACCATGAACCAACATTCCCAGTAACAGAACTTTCTATGAGAGCAGTACGTGCATCCTGGGAATTCCACTATCAAGCATCAATTTCTCAGGTTTGAATGACAGCCACTAGATCATTAGTTCATACATTCACCAAGTGTTTACAAGTTGGATGTGGCAGCACCAGCTGAGACCAGTTTTTGGAACAAACGTTTTATGGGCAGCAGTTTGGTGGGCCTGTATAGTTTTCTTTTAAGACTGTTGGTTCTGTTGTAGTTTGTCCACTCTGTTGTGACACTGTTTTCGGAACATTCCAATAGGTCAGTGTGGCTTCCGTCCCCTACACTCCACCGAAACCGCCCTACTTAAAATCACTAACGACCTGCTAACCGCCAAAACTAATGGCCACTACTCAGTCCTCCTGCTCCTCGACCTCTCCGTGGCCTTTGACACAGTCAACCACCCCCTCCTCCTTACTAAACTGCACTCCTTTGGCATCAGGGACGCTGCTCTCTCTCCTGGTTCTCCTCCTACCTATCCCAACGCTCCTTCAGCGTTACCTATAACGCTGCCACCTCCCCCTCTCTGTCGGTGTCCCCCAAGGCTCTGTCCTCGGACCCCTCCTCTTCTCTATCTACACCTCCTCCCTTGGCAAACTGATACATTCCCACGGCTTCAACTATCACCTCTATGCCGACAACACACAAATTTACCTCTCCACCCCTCAACTCACCCCCTCACTCTCCGCCCGCATCGCCCACCTCCTGAACGACATATCAGACTGGATGTTGCTCCATTTCCTCAAGTTAAACCTATCCAAAACCAAGCTCCTAGTTTTCCCCCCAGCCCGCGCTCCCCCCCACCATCCTCTCCATCAAGACTAGCAACGCCACCATCAATCCCACCCCACACGCCAAAGTCCTGGGTGGCACCCTGGATTCAAACCTTTCCTTCCAACCTCATGTCCAATCACTATCAAAGTCATGCAGGCTTTATCTTTGCAACATCTTCAAGATACATACGTTCCTCACCCCAGACACTACTAAACAATTCGTACACTCCCTCATTATCTCATGCCTGGACTACTGCAACTCCCTTCTCACTGGCCTACCCAAACAAATGCTATCCCCACTCCAGTCTATCCTGAACTCAGCGGCTAGACTCATCCACCTCACCAACCGCTCCACCTCTGCCACTCCCCTCTGCCAATCCCTTCACTGGCTCCCGATTGCCCAATGCATTAAATTTAAACTACTAACTCTGACATACAAAGCCATTCACAACGCTGCCCCAAACTACTTAACTGACCTGATACCCAAATACCACCCTACCCGTGCCCTTCACTCCTCACAGGACCTCCTACTCTCCAGCTCTCTAGTCTCCTCCTCCCACGCACGACTGCAGGACTTCTCCGGGACTTCCCCCATCCTCTGGAACTCCCTACCCCAATCCATCAGACTGTCACCTACCCTCCTCACCTTCACAGGCGCACCATAAAAACCCATCTCTTCAGGGAAGCCTACCCCCCACCCTCGCCTAACAACCGATCTCCTCCACTCCTCCTATCACTCCATCGCCCACAGCCACTTCCTCCTGTACCACTATCCCCTCCCTCCTAAATTGTAAGCTTGAAAGAACAGGTACTGTTTTGTCTCATGTTCTGTCCCCCACGCTAATGTACAGCGCTGAGCAAACCCTTTGGCACTATATAAACACTGTATAATAATAATAGGTGATAATCTGAAGCAGTGCTATGTCCTCCAGTGGAATAAAAAATATTTTTTGTATTCACCCTAAAATACCCTTTTCTGTGTTCATTGGAGGACACAGCACCCTCTCCTCTGGCTTTGCTGCTGCTCATGTCTTTTAAATATTCTGTTTTTGTTTGCTGTAAATTTTGCTGTGTAAGTGAGCTTGTTCCATATTATGAGGAATTTTGGCCATCAGCAGGGGGGTGTCCTGATATATATATATATATATATATATATATATATATATATATATATATATATATATATATATATATATATATATATATATATAAATAAAATATATGGTAGCCCTATACTCAGGAGGTGATGACCTAAAGCAGAGCTGTGTACTCCAATGAAAGCAGAGAAAAAGATTTAACCGAGAGTGCATAAAATCAAATTATTACATTTGGGTTCCCTTTTATCTTTTTGGTTTGGTTTTATGTCTTTTTATTGGGATCATTGTTTAGGATAATTTGACTGGAGAACATCTACTGTATTTGCAGTTCTTTGGGCCTTCCCTGTAGTATCAAGTGTTACCTCGTTATTTTCACAAAGAGGTTATGATCTGCTTGGAGACTGTTGAATTTTCCATGCCTACACAAAAAATTAGTTTAATATCACTTTAAACCACATTTACTGTAAACTCCAAAACAAAAAGTTACATATGGCAGCTTACCAGGGATGTGGTGGCTAAATTGTTTTTCCCTTTTTTTTTTCCCTTTTTTTTTTTAAACACCCCCCCCCCCCCCCCCCCCCTTTATTTTTACCTGCAAATAACATAATTCCTGTTCCTGGGTGGCTATGCTCACTCTACTGTATCTATGATTGTGCTATGCCGCTCTCCTGATATAGACTACAACATGTCTACCTCCCCCTTTTATTTTTCATCCCATTACATGGGGGCTGGGGAATCTAGCTTTGAAGGAAGATAACAACTTAGTCTGTGATTTCAGTTCATTTCACTGGAATTGACAGGCAGGATCAATCTTCTTAGCCTGAAAAATTAAAAACTAATGCAGCTACTACATCTTGTATTAAGCTGTAATATATTATGTTTTGTTTTTAGGGGTTTAGATATGCTGTAATACTCCTAAACCCTCTAAGACTAGTATAACAAGTCCATAAACTTATTTTTCCAATATGGTTTGGTTTGCAGATTCTGCTGTAAGGTCTCCAACAAAAGTAGAAGTGTCTGAGAACAAACCAGTGGTGTTGCCTCACACCTACTCTTCTGGCTCCTTTCCAAGTGGAAGCGGTAATTAATATCGACTACTTGTGATTAGAATGTTTGGCTTCTTAGAACCAGCCTTTTTAATGGGAAATAATTATATATTGGGATAATTAAAATCAAACACAACTGGTAGTATGTAAAAAATAATACACCAAACACCTCAGAGTTGTAGATTTCAGAACACAAGAAATTAATACGTAAAGCCCTACAGCTTATGCTTACCTATGCCATGGAAAAACAATATGTAGCATCATGGATCTAATTACTATTTTCTTCACCTATAGTGCATTAAAGAAGTTCCTCTTTAAAACCATGTTTGTTCTTTGCCTCTTGAATAAAAGCACTAACCTTGGTGTGACAAAGGATGACCTGAACATGTATGATATCCAGAGTCCGGTGGAATATATCAAATTCAAACCCAACAACCACCTTAGGACTGCCACCATACTTTATCCACATCCATCCATGTTCATTGCGTGGGTGTAGCCAAGTGCTGAGGTGTTTATCTGGTATCTGTGCCCTTTGTTTCTGCTGACTGTCTGTGAAGTCAACTGTAGCTTGCTAGGTGGACATAGGGACTGATTTATCTGATATATTTTGATGCGTACAGGATGGACTACTTGGAATTTAAATGTGAACTTCATGATCCCAGATAAAAACATTTTTTTTCATAATCATCCGCTAAAATATATATTTAGCGTTTTTACATTTGAGTAAGTCATTGGATGTGCCTTAATTTTCTCTGTAATATGAACACCCAATGAAGCAATGTCACCAACTAATGTATTTTTCTATCAGTCTGGGGGACATGTATATACTGCTGAGTGACGTAAAAAACAGAATGTTGGAGGCCAGCATTGCGGCATATAACACTGCACTAGATTCATTGTACAGGTTACTAGATTCACAGCTTATAGTTTGTTATAGTTGTTATTGCAGTACTTTTCTTAATTGCCAGAACCAATAGACCAACTAGGAAACTGAGCCATAGATTTTATGTTGATTAATTCTATTTATTTGTAGCTAGGTCATTAATATTATGCTAAACACAGGCTGAGTATGTTGTTGACCAACAGATGGCTTCATGCAGTTGCTAGATGGATCGCCAGTCTCCATCAAATTGGATCCAGTGGCAGAAACTGCAATTAGACAACTGACAGAGCCAATGAACAAGCCATCCAAGAGGACTCCCACCAAACGTAGCACTTTAATTATTTCGGGGGTGTCGAAGGTAAATATTAATGTTTCTCTTCAATCTGTATATATTTATTTTTACTAGCAAAGCTAGATCAGTTAGGATCTAGAGGTTTTACAGGTGAAACTAGGCACAATGGCTAGTAGCCTGGATGGTTTCATGTTATTTATTTCCAAACTAATTGGTAATTGTGGAAAATTGTTTCTGGACTGTATTTCTGATTCATCTTTTTACTGCAGGTTGCTGTTGGAGAAGATGAGATGGCGCATTCACTTGGATATGCAGCTTCTATGGATGCTTCATTACAGAGTCCTTCTAATACTGTTCAGGATTCATTAATTGAAGCTTCTTCACAATTTCTTTCTGAGATGGCACTTTCTTTGGGCCAGGATACATGTGACACCACAAAATCAGATATTTCTGGCTGGCCATCATTGGATGATGTAGATTCTGAAACAGGATCAATTCGGGCCTTGGAGACACGGAGCCTAAAAGATCACAAAGGTGACTGATCTGAAAAAAGAGAGTAAAGCAATTACAATTCACAAACCAAACACCAAACAGAGAAGAGATTATCTGGTCCAGACTGAATTAGAACAGCTGTACCATTTGTTCAGATAAGTAATCCACCTGTACATTATTAGTAAATATAATACTGTAAAGAAGATTCCTATGGAATTCTTTCCTATGGAAATCTTCTGATTCTCTGCAGTAGCTGATTGCTGCCATGGCAGTGCTAGGATGTTCAAAATTTAATCTCCAAACACGGAAAGGTTTCTTCACAGTGAGAGAGAGCTGTGAAAATGTGGAATAGACTCCCTCAAGAGTTGGTTCTGGCCAGCTCAGTGGATTGCTTTAAAAAAAGGCCTGGATTCTTTCCTAGATACAGACTATAACTGGATACTAACATTTATAGGTAAAGTTGATCCAGGGAATATCCAATTGCCTTTCGAGGGATCAGGAAGGATTTTTTTTTTCCCAGCAGGAGCAAATTGGATCTTGCTTTGCTGGGGGTTTTTTTTTTACTTCGTCTGGATCAACTGTAGGTATAGGATTGTAACTTTTTTTTTTTTTTTTTTTAAATGGTTGAACTGGATCGACTTTTGTTTTTTTTCAGCCAGACTAACTATGTAACTATGTTAGGTTTTGAAAGAATTATGACTGAAGTTTGAAGTTTTTCTTCCCTTTTTTCCTCTCAGTAGCTTGTTCTTTCTTTAGTTTCCCCAGAACATCACTGCAAGTGACACCCAAAGACATGGTCCTTACTAAAAGATCATGTATACATAGCCTGCAACAAAAGTGTTCTTTGAAATGTCTAATTTTTATGGCAGTTATTTGTCTTTTGGCCCTTTAGGTTTGGACGTGTGTCAATGGTATTAGTTTAACATCAGTTTGAAATACTTCTGAGAATTAATTTACTAAAGCATTTGAATTGTAGTTTCAAGTAGGATTTTCATTCACATGGGTTTTGCATTCCAATGCAAGTCTGTCTGATGAATTCCCTTCAACATCATCCCTTTGTAACATGCAAATTAGGTAATTCTTGTTATTCTTATAGAATATACTTCTAAGCTGCCAATTTCCAGGAGTCCGCATTACAGATGGCTAAACAAAGCAAAATAAAACAAAGTGATGCCAAATTTTTTTATGCAGTCAATCACCAGCTGCAGGTCATTGCTCTAGACCAGCTTCCATGATGGTGAACATGCTTGTGCAGTGAGTGTCAGCACTGCTGCTTAGCCTCTACTGAAAGGGCATGCAGCAAAGGTGGCAATGTAGAACCGGGAGACAGAGGATTGTCACCCTATTATAGGAAATACCTGGCAGGATTGCTATGTATTGTTGTTTTAATGAACACAGAAAATTAGTTTTGAAATGACAGTAGCAAGTTTATGTGAGTGATGGAGTTTAACTCTACTTTAAAGTGGACCTGAACTGAAAAAGTGAAGATTTGCTGTTAATGTTGATTGTGCCTAAACTGAACTAAAATGTATCCAATTGGCTGGACTTCCTGAAAAATTGCAGCATGCGTCTAGTATGTGAGGTTGCTTAGAGCTTCATACAGTGCCTTGAAAAAGTATTCATACCTCTTGAATCTTTCCACATTTTGTCACGTTACAACCAAAAATGTAAATGTATTTTATTGGGATTTTATGTGATAGACCAGCACAAAGTGGCACATAATTGTGAAGTGGAAGGAAAATGATAAATGGTTTTCAAATTTTTTTTACAAATATCTGAAAAGTGTGGTGTGCATTTGTATTTGGCCCCCTTTACTGTGATACCCCTAACTAAAATCTAGTGGAACCAATTGCCTTCAGAAGTCCCCTAATTAGTAAATAGAGTCCACATGTGTGTAATTTAAGCTCAGTATAAATACAGCTGTGAAGCCCTCAGAGGTTTGTTGGAGAACATTAGTGAACAAACAGCATTATGAAGGCCAAGGAAAACACCAGATAGGTCAGGGATTAAATTGTGGAGAAATTTAAAACAGGGTTAGGCTATAAAAAAAAATATTCCAAGCTTTGAACATCCCAAGGAGCACTGTTCAATCCATCATCTGAAAATGGAAAGAGTATGGCCCAACTGCAAACCTACCAAGACATGGCGGTCCACCTAAACTGACAGGCCAGCTAAGGAGAGCATTTATCAGAGAAGCAGCCAAGAGGCCCATGGCCTCTGGAGGAACTATTAGTTGTGCACCTCACAAATCTGGCCTTTATGGAAGCAAGAAGAAACCCATTGTTGAAAGAAAGCCATAAGAAGTCCCGTTTTGTAGTGGGGGACACAGCAAACGTGGAAGAAGGTGCTCTGGTCAGATGAGACCAAAATTTAACTTTTTAGCCTAAAACAAAACGCTATGTATGGTGGAAAGCTAACACTTCACATCACCCTGAACATACCATCCCCACCGTGAAACATGGTGGTGGCAGCATCATGTTGTGGGGATGCTTTTCTTCAGCAGGGAAGCTGGTCAGAGTTGATGGGAAGATGGATCGAGCCAAAATACAGAGCAATCTTAGAAGAAAACCTTTTAGAATCTGCAAACACTTGAGACTGGGGCGAAGGTTCACCTTCCAGCAGGAGAACGACCCTAAACATACAGCCAGAGGTACAATGGAATGGTTTAGAGTGAAGTACATTTATGTGTTAGAATGGCCCAGTCAAAGTCCAGACCTAAATCCAATTGACAATCTGTGGCAAGACTTGAAAATTGCTGTTCGCAGACGCTCCCCATCCAATCTGACAGAGCTTGAGCTATTTTTCCGAGAAGAATGGGTACATATTTCACTCTAGATGTGCAAAGCTGGTAGAGACATCCCCAAAAAGACTTACAGCTGTATTGCAGTGAAAGGTGGTTTTACAAAGTACTGATTCCAGGGGGCTGAATACAAATGCATGCCACACTTTTCAGATATTTATTTGTAAAAAATTTTGAAAACCATTTGTCATTTTTATCCCCTGAAAAAAGTGTTCATATTTAACAAAATCCTGTGAATCGTGTATCCACCACTACCATAAGCAGATCTTAACAGATCCCTGGACCCCAAATTATAGGTGGTCTATAAAGCATGACGCTGTTTAGATCCCTTTGTTGTGATTGATCACCATACAAGATGTTCTGATGCAACGATATCATCCTTTGTTTTAGCCCCACGGACTCACATAAAAAAGAAATTCCAGATAGTGATGTACCGTAAAGAATTTACTGTTATAAGAGCAAAGATTTCACTCACAAAATTGAATTGATAAAAAAACACATGTACAAAATGCTGCTGGTGCCAGCTCCAGCTATCGAGGAAAATGTCAGCACGGACTCCTCCTACCCTGACGTACGTTTCATCCGAAAGGACTTTGTCACGGGGACAGTCTAAACCTGCTGACGTAATATTACATTTTATAGAGACGCTTGCCGAACGGCAGAAAATCTTCTCTACAAAATTTCTAAAGTTTATTCTATGATGCTAAAAAACGGAATATCGTATATCTATAATTACTATATCCACATACAAACAATACTAAGTATATTTCATATGAAGAATATCACAAACACAGAGGCATGATGCCCCCCTAAGGGATATCATTATAATTAGTAATTTATAACGAAGATTAATACTCCCTAATAAAAGTCATTATATTATGTATTTTTATCTAAAGATTAATTCTTTTTAAATCTTAATATTTTTATTTTGAATATTTCTGGAGAAAAAATTCTTCATATTCATCAATAAAAATGTTTTTATTTATTAAAACATAAAAAAAATACATTAATCAACATAATTAAAAAACAAATCAATTTTGTTCAGAAAAAGGCAGAGATACATATATTTTACCTAGCTACTAAGAAAACTATTTAAATCCTATTCTATATTATGGCCATGGGGGGGTATAGGATTTTAAATTAAAAATCCATCTTGTTTCAAGCTGGGAAATGCCTCTTATATTATTACCTCCCCTCCAATGAATCACATACTGTATCTATCTATGCCCACCACCTGTAGGCTAGATGGATCTTTGTTACGCTTCACTGAATAGTGTTTTGATAAACTATGATTGGGACAACCTTTCCTAATATTATCTATATGTTCCTCAATTCTAGTTTGTAGGGCTTGCTAAGTCCTTCCCACATATTGCTTCTTGCATGGGCAAGTTAGCAAATAAACAACATACAGTGGATATAAAAAGTCTACACGCCCCTGTTAAAATGTCAGGTTCTGTGATGTGAAAAAATGAGACCAAGATAAGTCATTTCAGAACTTTGACCTATAAACTGTACAACTTAATTGAAAAACAAACTGAAATCTCTATGGGGGAGGAGTAAACCTAAACTAAAATAGTAATATGGTTGCATAAGTGTGCACACCCGTAAACTAATGCTTTGTTGAAGCACCTTTTGATTTGATTCCAGCAACTCAGTCTTTTTGGGTATGAGTCTATCAGCATGGCACATCTTGACTTGGGAATTTTTACTTCCCTCCACCTAAAAGATTTCAGTTTGTTGTCCAACTGAGTTGTACAGTTTATAGGTTAGTTAAAGATGGAAAAAGTTCTGCAATTATTTTTCTTTGTCTCATTTTTTTGCATCACAGAAACCTGACATTTTAACAGGGGTGTGTAGACTTTTTATATCCACTGTATGTGGTGAAACATGTTAGAGTTGTGATATATCTTATTGGCTATTTCAGAGACAAAGGTTTTGGTTTTGTGACAATTATTCCCTACAATTCTACACATTTTGCACCTCCTGCAAGGAAAAATCCCCTTAAAATCACTGAACATAAAGGTTTTCAATGGTCTATCTACCACATTTGGAGCAATATAATGTCTTAAATTAGGAGCCTTTTTATGTATAATAGGAGGTATTTCTGGAATTATACTCCCCAGAACTTTATCACTTTTTAGTATAGCCCAATGTTTATTTAATAATTTATTAATCATGTAGTATTGAGTTGAAAAACTTGTAGAATAAGTCCAATCAAATTTGTCACCATTTTATTTGGATA